CACTAATAAATCATGTGGGCCTTCCAATCGGTCTACTCGTCTGATCAATCATGAGTTAATTACCGTCACAAAAACAATACCGTAAAAAATAAACCTTGAAGCTCGAATCATAGCCCCAGCTCTCTACCATATACAGATGTGAAATTCGATCCCGCGTCATTACGGTGAGTTTTTACCAATAATTAGATGCATAGGATGATTGGATGACCTACATGATTTATGATTCATGATTCATATGTGGACAACATATAAATCAGTGCAGAGACAATTCAGGTAGCTTTGAACCCACAAATAAACTCACTTCCAAATATTCCTTCTCCTACACAAGTCGTCTTCACTTTGCAGTGTAGACTTCTTTTAAGTTCTTTAAGCTTCGTTCTCTCGCCCAGTGCTCGTTACATCTTAACAGGGTGCCTACAAGCCATTACAACGCACAATAAAGACATCTATTCATTAATTCTTTTCGCGCGTCTTACTTTGCGTACTCCATTTAAGCAACCTGTTTGAATATCTATACTCACACCATACACTAGGGTGTTAGGTACAAAGCCAGACGCCACCAGATTTCAAATTCCGACTGACATACAATAGACAAGTATAAAAGACTTCACTTTGCGATGTGAGCTTGCTATTCGCGCGGCACACTTTCTATTTAGTCGGTGTGGCATTTGTGGTGTCACGCGAGAATCGATCTCAGCCGTCGTGCCGTGGAATGCTATATATAGGCAAGCAACATCGTATTCCAACTGCGCTGCAACCCATACCAAAACGTGGCTGAGAATGGCGAGGGGGCCTATATCTTCTAGTCACCTGGCGGCGCCATAAGGTGGATCAAAGAGGTTAGCCGCATCTACTCTGCTGATACGTAGGTATGCTGAAACTGATGCCTAAGGTTTTGCAAAGAAATTCTGCTCTTGTAATCTGGACCGAATGATGACGACTTGTGTGGAAGGAGGATGATTCGAAAGTGATTGGTCTATCGGATCTCTCTCTGCTTAAATCCTGATTTATATGTGGTCCACTAATAAATCATGTGGGCCTTCCAATCGGTCTACTCGTCTGATCAATCATGAGTTAATTACCGTCACAAAAACAATACCGTAAAAAATAAACCTTGAAGCTCGAATCATAGCCCCAGCTCTCTACCATATACAGATGTGAAATTCGATCCCGCGTCATTACGGTGAGTTTTTACCAATAAGTAGATGCATAGGATGATTGGATGACCTACATGATTTATGATTCATGATTCATATGTGGACAACATATAAATCAGTGCAGAGACAATTCAGGTAGCTTTGAACCCACAAATAAACTCACTTCCAAATATTCCTTCTCCTACACAAGTCGTCTTCACTTTGCAGTGTAGACTTCTTTTAAGTTCTTTAAGCTTCGTTCTCTCGCCCAGTGCTCGTTACATCTTAACAGGGTGCCTACAAGCCATTACAACGCACAATAAAGACATCTATACATTAATTCTTTTCGCGCGTCTTACTTTGCGTACTCCATTTAAGCAACCTGTTTGAATATCTATACTCACACCATACACTAGGGTGTTAGGTACAAAGCCAGACGCCACCAGATTTCAAATTCCGACTGACATACAATAGACAAGTATAAAAGACTTCACTTTGCGATGTGAGCTTGCTATTCGCGCGGCACACTTTCTATTTAGTCGGTGTGGCATTTGTGGTGTCACGCGAGAATCGATCTCAGCCGTCGTGCCGTGGAATGCATATATAGGCAAGCAACATCGTATTCCAACTGCGCTGCAACCCATACCAAAACGTGGCTGAGAATGGCGAGGGGGCCTATATCTTCTAGTCACCTGGCGGCGCCATAAGGTGGATCAAAGAAGTTAGCCGCATCTACTCTGCTGATACGTAGATATGCTGAAACTGATGCCTAAGGTTTTGCAAAGAAATTCTGCTCTTGTAATCTGGACCGAATGATGACGACTTGTGTGGAAGGAGGATGATTCGAAAGTGATTGGTCTATCGGATCTCTCTCTGCTTAAATCCTGATTTATATGTGGTCCACTAATAAATCATGTGGGCCTTCCAATCGGTCTACTCGTCTGATCAATCATGAGTTAATTACCGTCACAAAAACAATACCGTAAAAAATAAACCTTGAAGCTCGAATCATAGCCCCAGCTCTCTACCATATACAGATGTAAAATTCGATCCCGCGTAATTACGGTGAGTTTTTACCAATGATTAGACGCATAGGATGATTGGATGACCTACATGATTTATGATTCATGATTCATATGTGGACAACATATAAATCAGTGCAGAGACAATTCAGGTAGCTTTGAACCCACAAATAAACTCACTTCCAAATATTCCTTCTCCTACACAAGTCGTCTTCACTTTGCAGTGTAGACTTCTTTTAAGTTCTTTAAGCTTCGTTCTCTCGCCCAGTGCTCGTTACATCTTAACAGGGTTCCTACAAGCCATTACAACGCACAATAAAGACATCTATTCATTAATTGTTTTCGCGCGTCTTACTTTGCGTACTCCATTTAAACAACCTGTTTGAATATCTATACTCACACCATACACTAGGGTGTAAGGTACAAAGCCAGACGCCACCAGATTTCAAATTCCGACTGACATACAATAGACAAGTATAAAAGACTTCACTTTGCGATGTGGGCTTGCTATTCGCGCGGCACACTTTCTATTTAGTCGGTGTGGCATTTGTGGTGTCACGCGAGAATCGATCTCAGCCGTCGTGCCGTGGAATGCTATATATAGGCAAGCATCATCGTATTCCAACTGCGCTGCAACCCATGCCAAAACGTGGCTGAGAATGGCGAGGGGGCCTATATCTTCTAGTCACCTGGCGGCGCCATAAGGTGGATCAAAGAAGTTAGCCGCATCTACTCTGCTGATACGTAGATATGCTGAAACTGATGCCTAAGGTTTTGCAAAGAAATTCTGCTCTTGTAATCTGGACCGAATGATGACGACTTGTGTGGAAGGAGGATGATTCGAAAGTGATTGGTCTATCGGATCTCTCTCTGCTTAAATCCTGATTTATATGTGGTCCACTAATAAATCATGTGGGCCTTCCAATCGGTCTACTCGTCTGATCAATCATGAGTTAATTACCGTCACAAAAACAATACCGTACGTAAAAATAAACCTTGAATCGAATCAACTAGCCCCTGTTCTCACTACCATATACAGATGTGAAATTCGATCCCGCGTCATTACGGTGAGTTTTTACCAATAATTAGACGCATAGGATGATTGGATGACCTACATGATTTATGATTCATGATTCATATGTGGACAACATATAAATCAGTGCAGAGACAATTCAGGTAGCTTTGAACCCACAAATAAACTCACTTCCAAATATTCCTTCTCCTACACAAGTCGTCTTCACTTTGCAGTGTAGACTTCTTTTAAGTTATTTAAGCTTCGTTCTCTCGCCCCGTGCTCGTTACATCTTAACAGGGTGCCTACAAGCCATTACAACGCACAAAAAGACATCTATTCATTAATTGTTTTCGCGCGTCTTACTTTGCGTACTCCATTTAAACAACCTGTTTGAATATCTATACTCACACCATACACTAGGGTGTAAGGTACAAAGCCAGACGCCACCAGATTTCAAATTCCGACTGACATACAATAGACAAGTATAAAAGACTTCACTTTGCGATGTGAGCTTGCTATTCGCGCGGCACACTTTCTATTTAGTCGGTGTGGCATTTGTGGTGTCACGCGAGAATCGATCTCAGCCGTCGTGCCGTGGAATGCTATATATAGGCAAGCATCATCGTATTCCAACTGCGCTGCAACCCATACCAAAACGTGGCTGAGAATGGCGAGGGGGCCTATATCTTCTAGTCACCTGGCGGCGCCATAAGGTGGATCAAAGAAGTTAGCCGCATCTACTCTGCTGATACGTAGATATGCTGAAACTGATGCCTAAGGTTTTGCAAAGAAATTCTGCTCTTGTAATCTGGACCGAATGATGACGACTTGTGTGGAAGGAGGATGATTCGAAAGTGATTGGTCTATCGGATCTCTCTCTGCTTAAATCCTGATTTATATGCGGTCCCACTAATAAATCATGTGGGCCTTCCAATCGGTCTACTCGTCTGATCAATCATGAGTTAATTACCGTCACAAAAACAATACCGTAAAAAATAAACCTTGAAGCTCGAATTATAGCCCCAGCTCTCTACCATATACAGATTTCTTAGTAAAAGCATTGTTGCGAAGACAGAGGACAAAAAAGGGGTGATCTGCTTGTCGCACAGTCTCCACAAGATCGATGACAACATCGTTCCTCAACTCGAAGAGAAGCAACGTCGGTACGCGTGCTGGGCGTTGCTCAGGCGCTGGTAGACGTGCAGCATTGCCTATGCAGCGAACGAAACTATCATGATGCATGCTTAAGACGCAGCTTAGGTGATCATTACTGTTGTGGGCTGACGGTTAAGGTACTATTATCAGCTACCGTGGAAACCGTAAACCTTGAAGAACTTAAGACTTCTTGGTCCGAGTGCAAAACGCACAGTGAAAATGCATTTACAATAGGTACTAAGTTCGCAACTTTGAATACTACCTCTAAGCCTATTATTCGCAGTGACGTCATCCACTGACGTCATGCAATGATGTCATTCCGCTGACGTCATCCAATGACGTCACTCCCTGACTTCGCCCTTACTAGTTGTTGAAGGTATGACACGGGAGTGACGAGAAGACCGGAAGAGACCGGAGGGAGCGAAGAGGCTTGAGAAGCGGAGCAGAGAAGACTTGCTCGGCAGAAGGATAATTCGAAAGTGATTGATTATCGGGGCTTGCTACTTACTACATGATTTATATGTGGTGCACATATAAATCATGTGAAGCGTCTCATCATCCTACGCGTCTAATCAACTATGGTAATTACCGTAAGAACTACGTCGTAAATACGAAGCTAAACAGGCGGTTCGGATTGGACCGGTCACGGTTACTAATACTGGTAGGAAACCGATGACTGTCAACACAACCAAAATCGACGCCCCGTTTCATGAAGCTGTAGGCGCTTTAATGCACTTGATGACAGCGACACTACCGGACATTGCCTTTGCTGTGAGTTACGTTTCGTGCTTCGTGGAAAACCCCCAAGTCGAGCATCGGATGGCGGTCAAGCGCATTTTGCGATACTTTCAAGGGACTAAGCCGCACGGCATCTGTTTCAAGTCTGATGACAAGATAGACTTCTGCGGCTACTCGGATGCAGACTGGGCCGGCGACCATGCAGACCGCAAGTCGACTTCGGGATATGCGTTCATCCTGATGGGTGCTCCGGTGAGCTGGGGAAGCATAAAGCAGTAAAGTATGTCACTGTCAACAAATGAAGCTGAGTACATTGCACTAAGTCTGACGATTCAAGAAGGCAAGTGGGTGCATCGATTGCTGTGCGAGATTCTGGATGCCGCAGAGGACAAGTGGACCCGAGCTCAAGATCATGGAAGATAACCAATCGTGCATCAAGATGACGAACAATCCTGTGAACCATGGTCGGGCCAAGCACATCGACATCAAGTACCATCACATTCGTGATGAAGTCAAGCGTGGTGATGTCACTTTAAATTACTGTGAGACTACGATTATGTTGGCGGACATCATGACCAAGGGACTGCCAGGACCGCGTCACAAGGACTTGACGGCAGCGCTCGGCATACACGCGTGTTTGCATTAAGGGGGCGTATTGCGGGTTAACGGTTGAGGTGCTGTTATCAGCTACCATGGGAACCGTAAACCTGTCCAAGTCGATCCCGCGTAATTACGGTGAGTTTTTACCAATAACTAGATGCATAGGATGATTGGATGACCTACATGATTTATGATTCGTGATTCATATGTGGACAACATATAAATCAGTGCAGAGACAATTCAGGTAGCTTTGAACCCACAAATAAACTCACTTCCAGATATTCCTTCTCCTACACAAGTCGTCTTCACTTTGCAGTGTAGACTTCTTTTAAGTTCTTTAAGCTTCGTTCTCTCGCCCAGTGCTCGTTACATCTTAACAGGGTGCCTACAAGCCATTACAACGCACAATAAAGACATCTATTCATTAATTCTTTTCGCGCGTCTTACTTTGCGTACTCCATTTAAGCAACCTGTTTGAATATCTATACTCACACCATACACTAGGGTGTTAGGTACAAAGCCAGACGCCACCAGATTTCAAATTCCGATTGACATACAATAGACAAGTATAAAAGACTTCACTTTGCGATGTGGGCTTGCTATTCGCGCGGCACACCTCTATTTAGTCGGTGTGGCATTTGTGGTGTCACGCGAGAATCGATCTCAGCCGTCGTGCCGTGGAATGCTATATATAGGCAAGCAACATCGTATTCCAACTGCGCTGCAGCACATACCAAAACGTGGCTGAGAATGGCGAGGGGGCCTATATCTTCTAGTCACCTGGCGGCGCCATAAGGTGGATCAAAGAAGTTAGCCGCATCTACTCTGCTGATACGTAGATATGCTGAAACTGATGCCTAAGGTTTTGCAAAGAAATTCTGCTCTTGTAATCTGGACCGAATGATGACGACTTGTGTGGAAGGAGGATGATTCGAAAGTGATTGGTCTATCGGATCTCTCTCTGCTTAAATCCTGATTTATATGTGGTCCACTAATAAATCATGTGGGCCTTCAAATCGGTCTACTCGTCTGATCAGTCATGAGTTAATTACCGTCACAAAAACAATACCGTAAAAAATAAACCTTGAAGCTCGAATTATAGCCCCAGCTCTCTACCATATACAGATTTCTTAGTAAAAGCATTGTTGCGAAGACAGAGGACAAAAAAGGGGTGATCTGCTTGTCGCACAGTCTCCACAAGATCGATGACAACATCGTTCCTCAACTCGAAGAGAAGCAACGTCGGTACGCGTGCTGGGCGTTGCTCAGGCGCTGGTAGACGTGCAGCATTGCCTATGCAGCGAACGAAACTATCATGATGCATGCTTAAGACGCAGCTGAGGTGATCATTACTGTTGTGGGTTGACGGTTAAGGTACTATTATCAGCTACCGTGGAAACCGTAAACCTTGAAGAACTTTAGACTTCTTGGTCCGAGTGCAAAACGCACAGTGAAAATGCATTTACAATAGGTACTAAGTTCGCAACTTTGAATACTACCTCTAAGCCTATTATTCGCAGTGACGTCATCCACTGACGTCATGCAATGATGTCATTCCGCTGACGTCATCCAATGACGTCATTCCCTGACTTCGCCCTTACTAGTTGTTGAAGGTATGACACGGGAGTGACGAGAAGACCGGAAGAGACCGGAGGGAGCGAAGAGGCTTGAGAAGCGGAGCAGAGAAGACTTGCTCGGCAGAAGGAGAATTCGAAAGTGATTGATTATCGGGGCTTGCTACTTACTACATGATTTATATGTGGTGCATATAAAAATCATGTGAAGCGTCTCATCATCCTACGCGTCTAATCAACTATGGTAATTACCGTAAGAACTACGTCGTAAATACGAAGCTGAACTGGCGGTTCGGATTGGACCGGTCACGGTTACTAATACTGGTAGGAAACCGATGACTGTTAACACAACCAAAATCGACGCCCCGTTTCATGAAGCTGTAGGCGCTTTAATGCACTTGATGACCGCGACACTACCGGAAATTGTCTTTGCTGTGAGTTACGTTTCGCGCTTCATGGAAAACCCCCCAAGTCGAGCATCGGATGGCGGTCAAGCGCATTTTGCGATACTTTCAAGGGACTAAGCCGCACGGCATCTGTTTCAAGTCTGATGACAAGATAGACTTCTGCGGCTACTCGGATGCAGACTGGGCCGGCGACCATGCAGACCGCAAGTCGACTTCGGGATATGCGTTCATCCTGATGGGTGCTCCGGTGAGCTGGGGAAGCATAAAGCAGTCAAGTGTGTCACTGTCAACAATGAAGCTGAGTACATTGCATCGATTGCTGTGCGAGATTCTGGATGCCGCAGAGTACAAGTCTGGACCCGAGCTCAAGATCATGGAAGATAACCAATCGTGCATCAAGATGACGAACAATCCTGTGAACCATGGTCGGGCCAAGCACATCGACATCAAGTACCATCACATTCGTGATGAAGTCAAGCGTGGTGATGTCAATTTAAATTACTGTGAGACTACGATTATGTTGGCGGACATCATGACCAAGGGACTGCCAGGACCGCGTCACAAGGACTTGACGGCAGCGCTCGGCATACACGCGTGTTTGCATTGAGGGGGCGCATTGTGGGTTAACGGTTGAGGTGCTGTTATCAGCTACCATGGAAACCGTAAACCTGTCCAAGTCGATCCCGCGTAATTACGGTGAGTTTTTACCAATGATTAGACGCATAGGATGATTGGATGACCTACATGATTTATGATTCATGATTCATATGTGGACAACATATAAATCAGTGCAGAGACAATTCAGGTAGCTTTGAACCCACAAATAAACTCACTTCCAAATATTCCTTCTCCTACACAAGTCGTCTTCACTTTGCAGTGTAGACTTCTTTTAAGTTCTTTAAGCTTCGTTCTCTCGCCCAGTGCTCGTTACATCTTAACAGGGTGCCTACAAGCCATTACAACGCACAAAAAGACATCTATTCATTAATTCTTTTCGCGCGTCTTACTTTGCGTACTCCATTTAAACAACCTGTTTGAATATCTATACTCACACCATACACTAGGGTGCAAGGTACAAAGCCAGACGCCACCAGATTTCAAATTCCGACTGACATACAATAGACAAGTATAAAAGACTTCACTTTGCGATGTGAGCTTGCTATTCGCGCGGCACACTTTCTATTTAGTCGGTGTGGCATTTGTGGTGTCACGCGAGAATCGATCTCAGCCGTCGTGCCGTGGAATGCTATATATAGGCAAGCAACATCGTATTCCAACTGCGCTGCAACACATACCAAAACGTGGCTGAGAATGGCGAGGGGGCCTATATCTTCTAGTCACCTGGCGGCGCCATAAGGTGGATCAAAGAAGTTAGCCGCGTCTACTCTGCTGATACGTAGACATGCTGAAACTGATGCCTAAGGTTTTGCAAAGAAATTCTGCTCTTGTAATATGGACCGAATGATGACGACTTGTGTGGAAGGAGGATGATTCAAAAGTGATTGGTCTATCGGATCTCTCTCTGCTTAAATCCTGATTTATATGTGGTCCACTAATAAATCATGTGGGCCTTCCAATCGGTCTACTCGTCTGATCAATCATGAGTTAATTACCGTCACAAAAACAATACCGTAAAAAATAAACCTTGAAGCTCGAATTGTAGCCCCAGCTCTCTACCATATACAGATTTCTTAGTAAAAGCATTGTTGCGAAGACAGAGGACAAAAAGGGGTGATCTGCTTGTCGCACAGTCTCCACCAGATCGATGACAACATCGTTCCTCAACTCGAAGAGAAGCAACGTCGGTACGCGTGCTGGGCGTTGCTCAGGCGCTGGTAGACGTGCAGCATTGCCTACGCAGCGAACGAAACTATCACGATGTATGCTTAAGACGCAGCTTAGGTGATCATTACTGTTGTGGGTTGACGGTTAAGGTACTATTATCAGCTACCATGGAAACCGTAAACCTTGAAGAACTTTAGACTTCTTGGTCCGAGTGCAAAACGCAAAGTGAAAATGCATTTACAATAGGCACTAAGTTCGCAACTTTGAATACTACCTCAAGCCTATTATTCGCAGTGACGTCATCCACTGACGTCATGCAATGATGTCATTCCGCTGACGTCATCCAATGACGTCACTCCCTGACTTCGCCCTTACTAGTTGTTGAAGGTATGACACGGGAGTGACGAGAAGACCGGAAGAGACCGGAGGGAGCGAAGAGGCTTGAGAAGCGGAGCAGAGAAGACTTGCTCGGCAGAAGGAGAATTCGAAAGTGATTGATTATCGGGGCTTACTACTTACTACATGATTTATATGTGGTGCACATAAAAATCATGTGCAGTGTCCCATCACGCTACGCGTCTAATCAACTATGGTAATTACCGTAAGAACTACGTCGTAAATACGAAGCTGAACAGGCGGTTCGGATTGGACCGGTCACGGTTACTAATACTGGTAGGAAACTGATGACCGTCAACATTTGTGGCATTTTGCGATACTTCAAGGGACTAAGTCGCACGGCATCTGTTTCAAGTCTGATGACAAGATAGACTTCTGCGGCTACTCGGATGCAGACTGGGCCGGCGACCATGCAGACCGCAAGTCGACTTCGGGATATGCGTTCATCCTGATGGGTGCTCCGGTGAGCTGGGGAAGCATAAAGCAGTCAAGTGTGTCACTGTCAACAATGAAGCTGAGTACATTGCACTAAGTCTGACGATTCAAGAAGGCAAGTGGGTGCATCGATTGCTGTGCGAGATTCTGGATGCCGCAGAGTACAAGTCTGGACCCGAGCTCAAGATCATGGAAGATAACCAATCGTGCATCAAGATGACGAACAATCCTGTGAACCATGGTCGGGCCAAGCACATCGACATCAAGTACCATCACATTCGTGATGAAGTCAAGCGTGGTGATGTCACTTTAAATTACTGTGAGACTACGATTATGTTGGCGGACATCATGACCAAGGGACTGCCAGGACCGCGTCACAAGGACTTGACGGCAGCGCTCGGCATACACGCGTGTTTGCATTAAGGGGGCGTATTGCGGGTTAACGGTTGAGGTGCTGTTATCAGCTACCATGGAAACCGTAAACCTGTCCAAGTCGATCCCGCGTCATTGCGGTGAGTTTTTACCAACAATTAGATGCATAGGATGATCGGATGACCTACATGATTTATGATTCGTGATTCGTATGTGGACAACATATAAATCAGTGCAGAGACAATTCAGGTAGCTTTGAGCCCACAAATAAACTCACTTCCAAATATTCCTTCTCCTACACGAGTCGTCTTCACTTTGCAGTGTAGACTTCTTTTAAGCTCTTTAAGCTTCGTTCTCTCGCCCAGTGCTCGTTAAATCTTAACAGGGTGCCTACAAGCCATTACAACGCACAATAAAGATACCTATTCGTTAATTCTTTTCGCGCGTCTTACTTTGCGTACTCCATTTAAACAACCTGTTTGAATATCTATACTCACACCATACACTAGGGTGTAAGGTACAAAGCCAGACGCCACCAGATTTCAAATTCCGACTGACATACAAATAGACAAGTATAAAAGACTTCACTTTGCGATGTGGGCTTGCTATTCGCGCGGCACACTTTCTATTTAGTCGGTGTGGCATTTGTGGTGTCACGCGAGAATCGATCTCAGCCGTCGTGCCGTGGAATGCTATATATAGGCAAGCATCATCGTATTCCAACTGCGCTGCAACCCATGCCAAAACGTGGCTGAGAATGGCGAGGGGGGCCTATATCTTCTAGTCACCTGGCGGCGCCATAAGGTGGATCAAAGAAGTTAGCCGCATCTACTCTGCTGATACGTAGATATGCTGAAACTGATGCCTAAGGTTTTGCAAAGAAATTCTGCTCTTGTAATCTGGACCGAATGATGACGACTTGTGTGGAAGGAGGATGATTCGAAAGTGATTGGTCTATCGGATCTCTCTCTGCTTAAATCCTGATTTATATGTGGTCCACTAATAAATCATGTGGGCCTTCCAATCGGTCTACTCGTCTGATCAATCATGAGTTAATTACCGTCACAAAAACAATACCGTAAGAAATAAACCTTGAAGCTCGAATTGTAGCCCCAGCTCTCTACCATATACAGATTTCTTAGTAAAAGCATTGTTGCGAAGACAGAGGACAAAAAAGGGGTGATCTGCTTGTCGCACAGTCTCCACAAGATCGATGACAACATCGTTCCTCAACTCGAAGAGAAGCAACGTCGGTACGCGTGCTGGGCGTTGCTCAGGCGCTGGCAGACGTGCAGCATTGCCTATGCAGCGAACGAAACTATCACGATGCATGCTTAAGACGCAGCTTAGGTGATCATTACTGTTGTGGGTTGACGGTTAAGGTACTATTATCAGCTACCGTGGAAACCGTAAACCTTGAAGAGCTTTAGACTTCTTGGTCCGAGTGCAAAACGCACAGTGAATATGTATTTACAATAGGCACTAAGTTCGCAACTTTGAATACTACCTCTAAGCCTATTATTCGCAGTGACGTCATCCACTCGGGGTCTTCCATGTGGTGTCTTTCCCCTGACGTCATCCACTGACGTCATGCAATGATGTCATTCCGCTGACGTCATCCAATGACGTCATTCCCTGACTTCGCCCTTACTAGTTGTTGAAGGTATGACACGGGAGTGACGAGAAGACCGGAAGAGACCGGAGGGAGCGAAGAGGCTCGAGAAGCGGAGCAGAGAAGACTTTCTCGGCAGAAGGAGAATTCGAAAGTGATTGATTATCGGGGCTTGCGACTTACTGCATGATTTATATGTGGTGCACATAAAAATCCATGTGAAGCCGTCTCATCATCCTACGCGTCTAATCAACTATGGTAATTACCGTAAGAACTACGTCGTAAATACGAAGCTAAACTGGCGAGTTCGGATTGGACCGGTCACGGTTACTAATACTGGTAGGAAACCGATGACCGTCAACACAACCAAAATCGACGCCCCGTTTCATGAAGCTGTAGGCGCTTTAATGCACTTGATGACGCGATACTACCGGACATTGCTTTTGCTGTGAGTTACGTTTCGTGCTTCGTGGAAAGCCCCCAAGTCGAGCATCGGATGGCGGTCAAGCGCATTTTGCGATACTTTCTTTCAGGTGACTAAGTCACACGGCATCTGTTTCAAGTCTGATGACAAGATAGGCTTCTGCGGCTACTCGGATGCAGAATGGGCCGGTGCCTACAAGCCATTACAACGCACAATAAAGACATCTATTCATTAATTCTTTTCGCGCGTCTTACTTTGCGTACTCCATTTAAGCAACCTGTTTGAATATCTATACTCACACCATACACTAGGGTGTAAGGTACAAAGCCAGACGCCACCAGATTTCAAATTCCGACTGACATACAATAGACAAGTATAAAAGACTTCACTTTGCGATGTGGGCTTGCTATTCGCGCGGCACACTTTCTATTTAGTCGGTGTGGCATTTGTGGTGTCACGCGAGAATCGATCTCAGCCGTCGTGCCGTGGAATGCAATATAGGCGAAGCAACATCGTATTCCAACTGCGCTGCAACACATACCAAAACGTGGCTGAGAATGGCGAGGGGCCTATATCTTCTAGTCACCTGGCGGCGCCATAAAGGTGGATCAAAGAAGTTAGCCGCATCTACTCTGCTGATACGTAGATATGCTGAAACTGATGCCTAAGGTTTTGCAAAGAAATTCTGCTCTTGTAATCTGGACCGAATGATGACGACTTGTGTGGAAGGAGGATGATTCGAAAGCGATTGGTCTATCGGATCTCTCTCTGCTTAAATCCTGATTTATATGTGGTCCACTAATAAATCATGTGGGCCTTCCAATCGGTCTACTCGTCTGATCAATCATGAGTTAATTACCGTCACAAAAACAATACCGTAAAAAATAAACCTTGAAGCTCGAATTGTAGCCCCAGCTCTCTACCATATACAGAATTCTTAGTAAAAGCATTGTTGCGAAGATGGAGGACAAAAAGGGGTGATCTGCTTGTCGCACAGTCTCCACAAGATCGATGACAACATCGTTCCTCAACTCGAAGAGAAGCAACGTCGGTACGCGTGCTGGGCGTTGCTCAGGCGCTGACAGACGTGCAGCATTACCTATGCAGCGAGCGAAACTATCACGATGCATACTTGAGACGCATCTTAGGTGATCATTACTGTTGTGGGTTGACGGTTAAGGTACTATTATCAGCTACCGTGGAAACCGTAAACCTTGATGAACTTTAGACTTCTTGGTCCGAGTGCAAAACGCAAAGTGAATATGTATTTACAATAGGCACTAAGTTCAGCGACTTTGAATACTAACCTCCCAAGCCTATTATTCGCAGTGACGTCATCCACTGACGTCATGCAATGATGTCATTCCGCTGACGTCATCCAATGACGTCATTCCCTGACTTCGCCCTTACTAGTTGTTGAAGGTATGACACGGGAGTGACGAGAAGACCGGAAGAGACCGGAGAGAGCGAAGAGGCTCAGAGAAGCGGAGCAGAGAAGACTTGCTCAAGCAAAAGTGAAGGAGAGTTTAGAAAGTGATTGATTATCAGGGCTTGCTACTACTACATGATTTATATGTGGTGCGCATATAAGGGATCATGTGAAGCGTCTCATCATCCTACGCGTCCAATCAACCATGGTAAAACGCATTTACCCAGGTAAAAGGTGAACTACTTACTAAAATACAGGAAGCCGTGGAACAGGGCGGTTTCGGACTTGGACCTGGTCTTCTCTGCTTATTACTAATACTGGTAGGAAACCGATACTCAATGTGGTTGCTGTCCCAAATCTCGACGCGCCCCGTTTCATGAAGCTGTAGGCGCTTTAATGCAATTTGATGACCGCGACACTAATGGACATTGCCTTTGCTGTGAGTTACGTCGCGCTTCGTGGAAAACCCCCAAGTCGAGCATCGGATGGCGGTCAAGCGCATTTTGCGATACTTTCAAGGGACTAAGTCGCACGGCATCTGTTTCAAGTCTGATGACAAGATAGACTTCTGCGGCTACTCGGATGCAGACTGGGCTGGAGACTATTCCGACCGCAAGTCGACTTCGGGATATGCGTTTATCTTGATGGGTGCTCCGGTGAGCTGGGGAAGCATAAAGCAGTCCAAGTGTGAAGTCGTTGTCAACAAATGAAGCTGAGTACATTGCACTAGAACGTCTGACGATTCCAAGAAGGCAAGTGGGTGCATCGATTGCTGTGCGAGATTCTGGATGCCGCAGAGTACAAGTCTGGACCCGAGCTCAAGATCATGGAAGATAACCAATAGTGCATCAGGAGATGACGAACAATCCTGTGAACCATGGTCGGGCCAAGCACATCACGACATCAGAGTACCATCGCATTCGTGATGAAGTCAAACGTGGTGATGTCACTTTAAATTACTGTGAGACTACGATTATGTTGGCGGACATCATGACCAAGGACTGCCAGGACGCAATCCACAGGGCTTGACGGCAGCGCTCGGCATTACGCGTGTTTGCATTGAGGGGGGACATTGCGGGTTAACGGTTGAGGTGCTTTGTTATCAGCTGCCATGGGAACCGTAAACCTGTCCAAGTCGATTCCGCGTTAATTACACAGTGAGTTTTTACCAATAATTTAGACGCATAGGATGATTGGATGACCTACATGATTTATGATTCATGATTTATATGTGGATAACATATAAATCCAGTGCAGAGACAATTCAGATGGTAGCTTTGAACCCACAAATAAACTCACTTCCAAAATATTGCTTCTCCTACACAGGTCGTCTTCACTTTGCAGTGTAGACTTCTTTTAAGTTCTTTAAAATACGTTCTCTCCGCCAGTGCTCGTTACATCTTAACAAGGTGCCTACAAAGCCATTACAACGCACAATAAGAGACATCTATTCATTAATTCTTTTCGCGCGCGTCTTACTTTGCGTGCACCATTCTTAAACAGCCTGTTTGAATATCTATGCTCACACCATACACTAAGGGTGTTGGGTACCAAGTCAGACGCCACCAGATTTCAAATTCGACTGA